TAAAGTTAAAGGCTGGTTGCTTTCTTGAAGGAGAAGGAAAAAAGGAAAACTATTATATTGCATTTCTACATTTTTAAGCATTAATAACATAGCAAATGTTTAATCTCTGTACTGTGTTTTAAGACAGTACGGAGGCAGCTTGAAACACCAACACTTCCAACTACTTTGAAATTTATATGTATCTGTGATCGCATTCAGTATCAGAAATAATTTGGTTCATGAGTAGCGGTAACCTTTGATATGTATGTATAAGTAAATAATAAATCAACCAATTACCTACCTACAAACCTATCACTAGTACTCATTTGTTGGCAGTTGCAAAAATAATTGGCCAAGTTAAATTTTTCTATGAGGTTGATACAAGGCAGAGGGAAGGAAATGAGGTGTTATTAGAGGATTTTATAAGAAAGGACATTTTGGAAATAGTGTATCCTTAGAGCCTACCACCTCCTTCCCTTCTTGTCCTTGGTCAGGAGTGGAGTGAGGCATCTACGTCTTTTACTCAGGCAGAGGCTTACACACACACATATGACCTTTCCCAGCACAAGCACACTGGAAACGTTTTGGTCCAGGGACCACTCTCATAGGCTTATCTTGGGTACCCAGGCCTGGCATAGATTTGTGTTCCTTTGGACTTCTGCATGTTTTGCTTCTTAGTCTGTGGGTTTCCTATTTCTCTTATCAACATCTACTCACTACTCACTCCAGGGTCCAATGGAAATACGCTTGGCATTACTGTTTCCTTTCATTGCTTTCTACAGAGGAGTTTTCAGGATCTTAAAATATTTTAAAGATGATTACAAGCAATTTCATTGTTTTAAGAGGAGTCATTTTAAAGACGTTATTCAAAACTACTACTTAAATTCTATAAATCCAAACTACCCTGCTGTGAAGATTGGGATATGGGGGCTAATAACCCCTTAAAGGTATAAAATGTATATAGCACTGCTAGAAAGAGATACTTACCAATGTGGGATGAGATAAGGAACCACTTTGTGGCCGCACACTGAAGCCACTGTGACAATGTGACCATGATTTCTCTTCATCATTGATGGAAGAAGGGCTTTTACGATCTTAAGGATAATCGCAGTGAGAAAAGAAACAACACCACAAGCATTATGTTTCCAAATCAGGTAGTTTTATATTTGCAATGAAATGAAAAGCATGCCAAAATTCCATAATTAGTTCTATACAAATGATAGAAATTAAAAAGACAAACATTTTATTGGTTTGAGCTGACATTGAGTGCCATGTACTATAACCACATGTCAAGAACCCATTCTAATATTCCCCCATCTTCCTTCAGAAGGAATCAAAGAGCTCCTTTTTGGATATGGCATTCAAACAATATTAAGGGAAACATTTCAGAGTCCTCAGAACTGGAAGAATTCCCTGTGATAATCTGATACCATGTAATTTCTTGGTTTGGAGCTTTATCATTCCAGTTAGAAGAGTTGAAATTCTCTGTACCTGTATCAAGACAGCTGAGTCGAATAAACTAAGAGTTCTGCACTGACCTACAGTCACTATGCATCATGATTAGCTTTAGGATCTCCCTATTTGAAATACTGTGCATTATATATTGATGTTACAGGAAACAAAGTGTTTCTTTTTCTCCAAAAAGCTTTACTTTTTTGTGAGAAATAGCAACATTTTCTGAGCATTTTATAGACCCATCCTTGGATCTTATTTCATGAGAGTCAGAACCATCAAACCACACCACCCCTAAATTCCTAACCCCCAGAAACTGTGAAAAGAAAATATTTATTGTTTTTCTAACCACTGAGTTTTGGTGTAATGTGTTAGCAGCTATAGATAACTGATATATGAGGACTCCATAGAGTTTGTTGGGCATGATAACCAATTCACACATGTGTGAGGGGCTGAAGAAGGTAGGGGACAACTCTTTTTTCCTTCTCTCTTCCAGAATACAGATTTGCTCTAGGTTCTACGCTAATATTAAAGCACTGGGAGATTAATTTGTATAATGCTGTCTACCAAGGGAGAGGAAATT